CCCAGGCTTGAGCAACAGCCAGGACCTGGACAGCGGGGTAGGCCGGACTGATGAGAGTACCCGCAATGAAGAGAGCTCTGAACACGACCTGCTGGGGGATGAACCTCCCAGCACCACCAACACTCCTGGAAGTCTGCGCAAGTTTGGTCTACAAGGGGATGCTCTACAGAGCAGGGACTTCCACTTCAGCATGGATTCTCTGCTAGCTGAAGGGTCAGGGCTGGGAGGGGCTGACCTGCCTGGGCTCACTGATGAGGAGTATGAACGCTACCGGGAGCTGCTAGAAATCAAGTGCCACCTGGAAAATGGCAACCAGCTAGGCATCTTCTTCTCCCGGGCCTCCAGTGGCAACAGTGCCCTAGATGTCAACCGCAATGAGAGCCTAGGCCATGAGATGGCCATGCTGGAGGAAGAGCTTCGGCACCTAGAGTTCAAGTGCCGCAATATCTTGCGGGCACAGAAGATGCAGCAGTTGCGGGAGCGCTGCATGAAGGCCTGGCTGCTGGAGGAGGAGAGTCTCTATGACCTGGCAGCCAGTGAGCCCAAAAAGCATGAGCTGTCTGATATCTCTGAACTGCCAGAGAAATCAGACAAGGATAGCACCAGCGCCTACAACACTGGGGAGAGCTGTCGCAGCACTCCACTGCTTGTGGAGCCTCTGCCTGAGAGCCCCCTGAAGCGATCTGCTGCTGGCAATTCCAACTTGAACCGGACCCCTTCTGGCCCTCCTGTCACCACCCACCTCAAGGGGGCTCCTTCACCAGGGAGCCCAGCCAAGTTCCGATCACTCTCTCGGGATCCTGAAGTGGGCCGAAGACAGCACACAGAAGAGCGTGTCCGCCGCAGCACCAAGACAAGCATTACTCTGGAGCGTGTGGGCCCTGAAGGTAGCCCTTACCTCTCCAGGCGCCATCGTGGCCAGGAGATAGAGCAGTACCACAGCTGTGTGCAGTTGGCACCTCCACGCACCCTGGAGGATCTGGGCCATGGCTCCTTGAGCTTGGCTAGTGGTTCTCGGGTGGCTGCGGCTGTTGAAGCACCCCGCATGGAGTGGAAGGTGAAGGTGCGAAGTGATGGGACCCGCTATGTGGCTAAGCGGCCTGTGCGAGATCGACTGCTGAAGGCCAGGGCCCTGAAGATCCGAGAGGAGCGCAGTGGTATGACCACTGATGATGATGCAGTAAGTGAGATGAAGATGGGCCGCTACTGGAGCAAGGAAGAGAGGAAGCAACACCTGATCCGAGCTCGGGAGCAACGGAAGCGGCGTGAGTTCATGATGCAGAGCCGTCTGGAGTGTCTAAGGGAGCAGCAGAATGGTGACAGCAAACCTGAGCTCAACATCATTGCGCTGAGCCACCGTAAGACCATGAAGAAGCGAAACAAGAAGATCCTGGACAACTGGATTACCATCCAGGAGATGTTGGCCCACGGTGCCCGCTCAGCTGATGGAAAAAGGATCTACAACCCTCTGCTCTCTGTCACCACTGTTTGAGCTGCTCCAGCAGGAGCCCAGCCCAGAGAGCATAACCCTCACCCTCCCTTAGAATCTAGTATGTGTTGATGTGTGTGCTTGCACGCTGTGCTCATGCACACTCCTACCTGTATATGTATGTGTGCACAGGACTTTGGTAATAGAAAGCCCCAAGAAGGGAAACTTATCTTACACCTAGTTCCTTTTCCCCAAGAAGTTATGCCAACAAGCTAGCATAGAGGCATACTCATAAAGGGCACCTCTGTGTCCGTACACATGGTATTCTTGCTGTTCTTGGAGACAGGGAAGTCAGTGCAGAGAGGTGAGGTAGACTATCCTAAGCACAAGAGAATGTCCAGCTTCATGCTGAACACGACCTCTTCCCTCCAAGGAGCTGCAATTATTTGTAGACAAAGGCACCCCTGAATTTTGTGTTTTTTCTTTTCTGTGCTTGCTAATAGTTTTTTGTTTTTGTTTTGTGGGCCTGCTCTGGGGGCTGGCAGCTCCTTTAGGCAGCCTGACAAAGATGGACCCCACCGAGTACTGGCTGGGAAGGAAGTTAGGGGGAGAAAAAGAGGGAGGGTTGGGTGGGAGGGAAAGGAAGATGGGGAAGAATAAAAAGCAGCTGTTCTGGTGGCTTCTACTCTGAGGAGTAGCAGGGGGGATCTGCCTTGGCTTTCAAGGATTAACCATGAGGCCCACCTCTCTCACCAGTGAATGAAGGAGTTAGATCACAGGGATTTTGGGCACAGTATCCATGCAAAAATAATTTGTCTATGCCATCTGAAGCAGAACCACTCTTCTCAATGGCCTAAGCAAGGAGGACCAAACCCAGTGAGCAATACTGAAGACCTCACCTAGTCTAGAGACGATCTGGTGGGAGTTGGAAGGCCTGGGCCCAATGAAAGGAAGGTGAGCTGACTGAGAAATGCCTAGAACCTTTTCCAGGTGATGCAACTTTAAAATGTGCCACTTGTTTGGTGCTTCTCAGGCTTGGTGAAGCTCATTGGATGCAACAGGATGCCCCTGCTCCCCACCTACATCCCAAGAATAAAGCAAGCTGCCTTTTTACTCTGTGATGTGGACTTGTGTTTATTGCCATCATGCCATTTGTGCTGGGAAATGTCAGTACATTAGTCCCTGAATGCCCAGATTTCTATAGCAAATTGGTGGTGGGCAAGATGCCAAGATGGGTGTAAGAGGGAAATCTAAGGGTCCAATCCTAGAAGCTGAGTCCTGTTGCTGGGAAGGCTGGGTCTGGGTGGGAATACACATGACAGTCCTGTTGGTGAATAGGAAGAGAACAGAGCCTTGTAGGGAGCTGTGAGAATGGGAACACAGGGGCTAGATACTAGTTCCAGATTTTTTTAGGGGCCTTTCCAATAGTGACAGCTTTGGGTTCTTTGGAAAAACACAGTACTACATATTTTCATTTCAGTCTCAGGAATGGGATATGGGACTGCTTCAGACTGTCCATAGCAACTGATCATGATTTTGCCAGCTGCAGTTTCTGTGATTATGTGATCTTTAGAATTAAGGGGACTTTTCTTTTCTTTCTTTTTTTTTTTTGGTTTTTCGAGACAGGGTTTCTCTGTATAGTTGTGGCTGTCCTGGAACTCACTCTGTAGACCAGGCTGGCCTCGAACTCAGAAATCCGCCTGCCTCTGCCTCCCAAGTGCTGGGATTAAAGGCGTGCGCCACCACCGCCCGGCCTAAGGGGACTTTTCAAAGGTTATATAAATGCTAGAGCCCAAGAGATGGGGCGGGTTGTTGTTGGTCAAGTTATGTTTTAAGTACTACAAAGAAACAAATTAACCTGATCAAACTTTCCCCAAGGAATCTGATCAGCTAGTAGTCTAATGATAACCTTGCTTCCTTTCCTTTCTATTATTTTCTCTATCTGGTATTAGGGGGCTGAAAAAAAGAACTCACAGAGTAGCAAAAGATCACACTACACTCCCTAGCTCCACGGTCCTTCCAGTGAAGGAGACCAAGGTCTTAGTACTCCTTGGGCATTACTTCAGCCACCAGGAACTTCTGGAGTCACCCCATTGTTCTCTGATGGTGAGTTCTCAGGATCAGGAGGTGGGCTAATACTGCTCTGAAGCTTATACTATGTTGACTGGCTCAGGGAGAGGTGGCACCAGGGCAGCTGACAGTACCCGGTTACTGATAGCTTGGAACATCAACTTCACATTTGGCTGTCATTGCCATCTGGCTAGGTGGTGGAACCAGAACCAGCAACTGGTTGGCCAACAGCTGTTGCCATTGCCTGGCAACAGAACTACTGGCAGAACACAGAAAGTCACTTGCATTTGTTCCGTAGCAACCAAGGGGAGAAGCTACTGCTCCCACTTCTGGCCTTTCTTGATCCTGCTGTTTACCTAGTGTCCAATTCTGACAGTCTCAGTACTACTCTCTAGTGCATCCCAGATTCATCCTAAGAACTAGGGATGGCAGACACGGTCTTGAATGAACTTGAACAATAAGCTGTGTTCATATCATCCAGGACACCTTCTAGTCCCCCAGGCAATACCCAACTGCCCACAGAGGTTAAGGAGCCCCCACCACTCTTAGGGTGTGGCCAGCTCTTTGAATGACCTATCCTGGAGCAAGCACTAGAAAAAATGGCTTTATGCATGTGGTAGTATGCATTTACTTAGGACTTGCATCCAGCCTTTTCCCAACTAGCCTTCCATGGCACTAAGGAACACTAATCAAGTAGCTGGTGTCCAATCTGTGCAAAAAGATTACATGGAACACTACTGCAAGCAGGGCTTCCTGGCTCATATGCTAGTGAGCAGACACCTTAGTAGAGAACAGGGTACCCTTGGGAGGTATGGGAGGCTGTTCTTCAAAAATCCAGCACTAAACTGGATGCTGTGAGCAGCAGACCAGGAAGAAACATGGAGTGACTAGGGTTAGGGTGCAGAGTCCAGGAGTGTTCTCCTATGCTTAGGGTAGGTGTTACATGAGACAACTTGAAGTGCATCAGCACTTGTATGCAGCTTATGATCAGCCCACACACAGGAGACACCACAAAAATTAAGGCTAGTTATAACTTGGTGATGGCTCTGCTAAGTCTGAGGGAGATTAGGAAAGATCTTCTTGTGTGGTCATTCCCAACCATAGGTGCAATTAGAGCCCTCCAACCCAGTGCAGTTCAAGAGACTCACAGGGACCTGTAGCCCTAGGCTGACCAATGGGAAGATTTCCTGACGAAAGCCAGAGGGTGACCCAGATTTGCCCTGGGGACTGGTGAGAGAAGGAAAGATGGTATTTCCTTTTTTTTTTTCTAAGATAGGGTTTCTTTGTATAGCCTTGGCTGTCTAGGAATTCACTCTGTAGACCAGGCTGGCCTTGAACTCAGTGATTCACCTGCCTCTGCCTCCCAAGTGCTGGGATTAAAGGCTTGCACCACCACTGCCCAGACAAGGTGGCCTTATTTTAAAGAGGGCACACACTAGAAAAGAGACCAAGGACCAAGCCATGCTGACAATCAGGACAAGGACAAAGAAAACAGAAGACATTGGGGAAAATATAGCTCTGCTCAGTATTACTATCTGCTCTCCAGGCAGACAGGGGCAGCTGGATTCCCAGCTCTCCCCATAGACACAGGAGCCCCGTGTCTTGAATATACTCATGTCAGTGACTGTTTATTGAAAGAAGCAATGGAGGGCTGAGATTGCTGCCCTCAGGCCTGGATGTGGCTCTTTGCACTGAAAGCTAGGTAGTAGATCACTATGCCAATTGCTGCAGCCAACACCTCCGTGGAGACCCAAGGCCCATTCCAGGTACCCTGTAAAAAAAAAATAGAATAGAAAAGAAAAAAAAGAAGACCAAAAGACAGCTCAAGGGACTGCCAGGGAGTGGAGCAGTCACCCTTAATCACTTGTTCTCAGGACACACAGAGATCAACAACAGCCCAAAATCTGGGCTGTAGAGGATCAGAGCTTTTCCTTAGGCAACTCCAAAAGATGAGGTATGCCCTGTATTCTCTTCTTCCAAGTCAAGGGCACTTACCCGATGGTCCACACTGACTGTGAACAGGGGTGGGATGATGGAAATGTCCTCATTATTTCTTTGAGCCTGTAAGGGAAGTGCTGGGGTCAAGAAGTGCTGGGTGGGTTGCCCAGATAAGGGAGAAATGAGAAAGAGACAAAGAAGGAAGCAGGGGTTCAGGAAGACAACCACTTGGGTGGTCCTGGCCCCTAGAGTGCTGATATTGCAGAAGGGGAATATAGAATGACCCGGGTAAAGAGGACTTCAGAAATGGGGCATGCCCTCCCTCCTTGGGGCCTCAGAGGAGTTCCAGATGATACTCGCCTTCCTTAGGAGGCTGTAGGACTCTTCATCGAAGAATCTGACCTCATAGGTGCCTGCATGGGCGCTCCTGTGCTCCAGGCTCCAGGACACCTGGTCGGGTGTTTGGCAAGGGACAGGCATAGCAGATACATGGGGGATTACTCTGCTAGTGCTGGCACAATACCACCATGAGCAGTGCTTAAATCTTTGGTCTTTAACCCCGACTTGAACCATTTCCCCAACAACCCTGGATGCAGTATCCCTTACCTGATATCGACCCACATCCTGGCCGCGAGTTACAGGAAATTGTTTTCCACTAACGTCAGCATAAAGAGCCATGTTCTGGATGGGGGTGGGGGTAATAAAAGCAAGAAGCACATTTTTCTCCCTTCTCTGGGCATACATAGAATCCCCCATTGTGCTGCCCAAAGCAGTACTATGAGTGAGGAGGAAGAGTAGGCCAGCAGAGGGCTATATTGGTAGGGGTTGCTGTGGAAGACTCAAGAAATAGGCCTGCCACAGCCCAAAGCCATGCTAAGCCTCACCCATGACACTGTCACATCTTTCTTCATCTGTTTCCCTAGAGATGAATAGAACTACATATCCCTTATAACCAGTTTATCCTAACCCACAACAAGCCTGTTAGCTGTACACAGGGGTGGGATGATAAAAAATGGCCTTGTTATTTCTTGGAGCTTGAGAAGGAGGTGCCAAATGAGGTGTTTAACCCTAGAAGTACTGTCTCCCTCCCCCAAAGTTCCAATTTCTTTCTTTAGACTTTTGGAAGAGCAGGTTAAGGGTTCAGGCTGGGGTTTCTCTATTTTAAATTTACAGAACATTCATACAGACACACACTCAGGCAAACTACAACCAGAAAAAAGACAGAGGACCCTGACCCTAGTTCTTTCTCCCATTCCAGACATTCATCCAGGAAACAGTGGGGTGTCTACCCACATTACTGCATGGAGGCAAAGCATACCAAGCAGGTCAGGAAAATGCTCTTGAAGTACTTGCTAGGATCTGGCCTCGCTGTGCCCTCATCTCTCCTGCACCCTGTGAATTGGAATCCTTATTCTCCCTGTTGATAGGATCCTCAGGTCACTGTCAACTGCCAGTGAAAGAATACTGCCACCCTCATCTCTTCCCCTGTACCCTCTCTGCTGAGTCCCTACTGTCTCACCTGGACCCTGTTCTTGCAGGTCAGTGAGATCTCCACGATGAATACAGTCTCTGTAGAAATGACGGCATCTGAAGTTGTATAGTAAGAAGGGGTGATCTGGGGTTCCAGGCAGGCCTCTGCTGTGGGGAGGAGGCAAAGCCAATTTGTGTGTTCCAGGCAACCGGCAAAAGGGCTTACCCTGGCTCCACCTCTCAGACTTGGTGAGCTGAGGATACACAAATTCTTCTATTCCTGACAGAAGGTGGGGTCTGGGAGATAGATCCTAGTACTCAGAGTATAGTGGAAGGGGCCAGTGAGGGCTGTTGAGACAGGCCAGGGCCAAGTAGGGAAAGCTCTGCAGAGGTGAGCCTTGATGCAGCAACATGGGAGGAACAGGCATGTTTGAGGCAGGCAGGGGGCTGATTTATTAAATTAATATCTGAATCTATGACAGGGAGGCCACAAATAGCTCACCTGCTCCTAGAGTACCCCAGAAGCCCAGTGGGCCAAGGAAGCCTCAATTCAGAGCCATGTACCTCCTCAATAGCCTATTGAAAGCATTCTGCAGACACTAAATGGGGTGTTATCAAGACAAGAACTTTCAAGATAAGGGTCTCTAGACCCACCCAGCTGACAGAATGTCAAGACTGATCCTAGTGTTTCCTGAGAAGTCAACTCTGGGCCCAAACACCAAACTTGTCCCCATAAACTAAACACCTTTGAGGAAAAGTTCTCATTCAACTCTTTTCTAATTATGATGCCTTAAAAGAATGACCAATTAAGCTGGAAATGACCTTGTACTGGCATTAATAGCAAGAGGAAAATGCCTGGAAATGGTTCTCAAAAGCCATATTCCACCACCCCTTCTGTGACCTGTTAAGCTGGGCCTTTCCCTGTGGACACTATGGAGCCCCTAATAGGTTTTACAGCCAGGTTTGTCTTTTTAAGGCACTGCTAGCAACAGACTGGAGAATTCTCTGAGGGGTGAGTAGGAGGGATGGCCAGAGGCTATCCTGTATGTACAGAAACCAAATCCTCCTTAGTTCAGGCTCTCAGGTCTGAGGTGCTAACAACTTTCAAAACACATGCCCGGACTCCAGATTGAGCTCAACCCCACCACAAGATGTTACAAATGGCTCACAAATATCAATGGATCTGTGCACAGTTCAATTTTGCTATGAACATACCAGGGCCTCATGAAAAGTCGAGGCTCTGGGCACTAAAAGCCCTTGCTCACTTCTTTGGTTCCCTATCTAACTTGCCTCGTGCCCTTATTCTGATCTGCCTGGAGTGTTCTTGCTCCTCTCTTAGCTTTCTCTTGGAGAGGCCTGGCCTATAAAGCATTGGTTCCTCGCTGCCAGCACTGCTCTTGTACCTTCTGACACAGGAACCAGGGACATATCACCTTCCCTGCTGGAACTGGTGATCGGAGAGCATGGTGCTTCTTTGGGGCTCTCCCAAAAGCAGACAAGGAAGTTTCTTCCAGCAATCTGGCTGCTGGGTAAACCTGTGTGTGGTGTTTTGATCGCCACGACACGACACCCATTGAGGAAAGATCCCGCCAGTAGCGACGAGCCCTTAGAAGGGCCAGATCCCCACCTCGCGCACACCCTTCCTCCCCCAGCACCACCTGCCAAGGGGCAGGGGCGCGCCCAAAACAAGTTCCGGCCAGGCCGCTACCTGAGCAGCAAGATAGGCCAGACAGCAGGAGTAGCGCCAGGGCGCCGAAAGATGCCATCGCCGCCATCGCCTCTTCTCTGCCGAGGGGAAAAGAGAGCAAGCCGCCCTGAACATGCGGAGCAGACGAGGAAGCGCGACGCGTAAGCGGCCTCAGCACCCAATCGTGCGTCGGCGGGCTGGGTCGGGCATGGTGACGTCGCTGGAGGCACTGACGTGTCCGCTTCCCTAGCCAGGGTCCCAACCGGTCGCACTTTCCTCCTTCTCAGCCTTCCCCTCCCCAAGATGGCTGCAACAGTGCTCCAGGCACCGGAAGGGGGCGTAGCAACCGGTGTAACCGTGCGCGTGCGTAGTGCTAGCCTTTTCGCACCCTGTATCCCGGATTTCTCGCCTTTCCCAACTGTCGCGAGAACGGTGCTTAACGTTTTGACCTGTAGAGGTCCTCACTTTTCGTCATGGCTCTGAAGGTGGCGATAGCTGCTGGCGGTACTGCAAAGGCAATGCTCAAGCCAGCTCTCCTCTGCCGTCCTTGGGAGGTCAGTGGTGAATGGGCGATGGGACAGAAGTCACGCTTACAGAGGAACTTACACCCAGTTGAGACCCGGAGTCGGTTAACGGCCATTTGAGCAAACCCGGAATTCGATTGGCTGTGCGAGCCTTAGGAGGGGCGGGGAGAGGGCTGCTCTCTGGGGTTCATTGGTCGCTTCTGCTGTCAGTGAGGAGATTGGCCGAAATTGACTCTGGTCTGGCTTCTCTGTGTCTGGTGGCAAGGGCTCTTCCGGAAGGGTTTGGAAGGTAGACCGCAGTAGCTAGGTATCCCCTCCGTAGTGTCCTTGTAGAAGCCCTTTTGAAGAGATCACGTGTCCTGGCCCACCTAGGCTGGTTGGGTCTGGTTTCCAGACTCAGTTCCTCCTTGGTTTTCCCTCTCTTAGACTGCTTTGTCCTTGTGGAGGTGGAAAAATCAGACTTTACCGGTCTCTCTCTCCCTCTCTCTCTCCCGCCCTCCCCCCCCCGTCGGGGGCCGGGTCCCCCCTCCCCCCGCCACCCCGGTCTCTCTGTCTCTTAGGACACGCGGTTTCTCTGTGTAGCCTGGAACTCGCACTGTAGACCAGGCTGGCCTTGAACTCAGAAATCCTGCCTCTGCCTCCCAAGTGCTGGGATTAATTAAAGGCATGCACCGCTAACATCTGGCTATCAAAAATTCTTGATCCCTCCAGATCTCCTGCCTACCAAGCGCCTTGATACTTGATTCTAGCCAAAATGCCAACAAACAAGCCCAAACCCCTGTAATGAGAGTGAATTCTGAGACTGGAAACCTCTAGGGCTTTTCTTTTCTTCTTTCTTTGGAGTCTTGGTTAGTTGGTTTAGCTCCTGGGTAGCACTGCTTAGCACCAGAAAACCAACAACTAGCTCTGGGGAATAAGAGCTATGACCTCCAGACCTTGCGCTTCCACTGACCCAGAACATGGCATTAGGCCAGTTCTCTTCTCTCCCTGGGTTCCAGTGAGGAGAGGACTTCATGTTCTCAAAGCATTTGCTGACTCTGACCTTCCAGAATGCCATGTTTTGTTTTTTGTTTTTTGTTTTTTGTTTTTGTTTTTTGTTTTTTGCCTGCAGCCTCTTCTGCTTACCACATTTCTCTTCTCTGTTGTCTGGGGGAAGGGAGCTATATGAAATTCTATTTAAAATAGAAACTTCTGGTTCAGCCAGATGGCTCAGTGGGTAAAGGTACCTGCCTCCAAGCTTGGATACCAAGTTTGATCCTTGGAATTCTTGTAAAAAGCAAGGGAAAAAAAGGACCTCACAAAATCATCTTCTGATTGATTGCCACACATGTGTGCTGTGACTTCTTCCACATTGTTGAGGAAAGACCAGAAGCATATAGAGGATTATCAGAGGCCCTGATGGCTCCAGCAGCTAGGCTTCTGTAAACTTAGACCTTTCCTCCTGAATGTGCCTTTGTTGGGATGGGACTAGGTGGCAGTGAAATGATTGGTAGCCAGGCAGGGCTTTGCTGTAAGACTGATTGTCCTGGGTATAGGAATCCATATAGAGAACTCAAAGTCTTGAGTCCTGCTGGTTGACATCCCCTGGGAAATCATGCTATCATTATTTATTGGGAGTTGACCAAACACAAACATGACAAAGAAAGAAGCCTTAGGAACACAAGTATGGGAGCCCATCAGCAGGAGATTGAACCACCCTGGACCTTTGTCTTCTGCAGACTAGCTAAGGATGATGACTGAGCAGAAGACTTGTGCTCTCCTCAGCCTGCCTCATACTGGGCTTCTTTGATTGGACAACTTGGGACTCAAGAGGGAGAGCTTTGTAACTCCCTGAAAGAAACTACCCATATCTGTATATAGCAAGATCAGGGGTCTGTGGTTGAGAAGTTTTCTAGGACTTGGACAATGCCCACTGTAACCTCTGGCATAGAGGGCAGCTGTGGGATAGATTCAGCCCTAACAGTGATGTTGCCATCTGTGAATGGGTTGCAAAGATTTTGAGCCACACCTGGTGTAGAAGGATAGAAGGATGGATCATTGCCACAGCTTAAGTCCAGGAGGAATTAACTACTGGGAATTACAGGGGTCATCCTTGCATCTCCCAAGGATGCTAGTTTTGAACTCTGACTGAGAGACTGGTAGAGTGAAGGATGGTGTACTTTATTTAGCTCATCTCTATCCTGCTGGAGCTTGTGAACAGCTTGAATACCTCCTTTTTTGGTTAAGTTTTTCAGCAGTCAAATGAAGTTGTTGCTTCTATTCTATGGATTGACTAATCCCCCCCCCTTTTGTTTTTTGAAGCAAAGTTTCATGTAGTTCAGACTGGCCTCAAGATCTCTCTGTATATGAGGATGATCTTGAACTTCTGATCCTCCTGCCTCTACCTTCTAGGTACTAGGACTACAGATGTGTGCTGTCATGCCTTGCTTCTGTTTCATGGATTTTTGATGTAGATCCAAAGCCATTTCTAGAGTAGCAGATGGTGTATTTGGTCTCCATCTGTTTCTTCATTTTCTGATGTGCTTGTTCACCTAGAAAATGTACCTTATGGTCCCAGCTCTGGACCAGGTGCTGTGGTTGATCTTGGAGTGACAATAGAGGGTGAGACAAACATGTGCTCTGTTCTCATAGGCTAGGAAGAGAGCAAGGAGGTGATAATCAGGTAGAATGATATCTCTTAGAGGAGTAGAGGGTAGAGTATAAGTAGAACTTAGCAGTCTAGGGAAATTCCCAGGAGGAGGGGAAATCTGTGCTACCTTCTCAAGAAAGGCATGGAGAAGACCCTACAGACAAGATTAATCTGATATTGGCAAGTACTAGAAAGAAAACAAATATGCATGTGGCTGCATATATAGTGAGGGATCCTTAGGGCTTGGTCCTAGTGGTCAATCTTCCTACCTCTTGGCTTGGGCTATTGAGTGGCATTCCTGCATTGTTAGTGCCTAGGTAACTGAGCATCTTGTAACTCTGGGCCAGGGGAACCCAGAGGGGAATGGTCAGACTCTACCTGAGCCTTCTGGTCTTTCCAAAAGAAGGCATGACTCTTTAGAAAATGGTTACAGTGTCTCAGCTGTTGAATGGAACATTGTGCTACTGATGGGTGAGTGGCAAAGAATCCTCAAGTTACAAGGAAGAACTTGGTTGCACCATGCCACAATCCCTTGTGAAAGTATCTGTCATCAGTCTTCCAAAAATGGCTGTATTTTTCTAGACATTTGATTTTTATTTCTGTTCTGAAGGACCATTCCCTAGGTGTGACAGTGCTTACCGCAGGACAGTGGGGTGCTATTTTCTCCTTATCTTTCCATTTGCATTTACTATACTGATCATATGTTGGATTTGTAATAAGGAAAAGTGAGGAAAGACATGAAATTATTGCTCAGAATTGGTAGCTTGCTGAGATTTTCCTTTTGCAATGTCAAGTTTGCCAGTCTCTCTCCTTATACATGTAGCAACAATAATAATTGGCCAAAAGAGAACCAGAAGCCAATACAAAAGTGGGATGGGAACATACAATTCTTGTTTTAGAGACAAGACCTCACTCTGTCACTGTGATTGGCCTGGAACTCACTATGTAGACCAAGGCCTTGAACTCACAGAGATTTATTTGCCTCTGCCTCCTGGATGCTGTAATTAAAACTTCCATGCATGGCTCCTACAGTTTTAATTATGTTGACCCACAACGATAGTGAAGTGTTGGGGCAAGTTTATCTGGTGTTCCTGTGGGACAATTGTTAACAATAGGGGCTTTGGAATGTCCTAGACACATTGTGAATTGTTGTTTACTGGTATCAGTTCCTCTCCGCCAAGAGCTAGGGTAGCTCTTGCCAACTTGACTTTTGGAAGCTTGACTTTTGACTGGACAGCTAACATTGACATTTGGGTTCTCTTTGACAGGTTCTGGCTGCCCATGAGGCCTCCCGAAGGAGCATTTCCTCAGTAAGTACCTGCCTTGGATGTGTGTTTGTATATGAACACATACATGTGGGGGAGAGCTGTGCTCATATATTTCTGTGTGTGCACAAGTGTGTGTTTGTATGAGCATAATACGTGTGTATAAGACTATGTGTATTAGGTGTACATGTGCTCATGCACACATGCCTTGTGTATTTGCTTCCTGTCCTTCCTGTCCTTCCCTCTGAGGCATGCTCTCCAAAGGTCACTCACACCTCCCCTTTCTTTGAGTTGTGTTAGACAGTGTCCCCAGGGAAAAGATCCCAGTTCCTTAGTCACAGCCTTGTTCCTCCAACCTTGGCTGATCCATGTCTTCTTCCTTTCTGTCTTCCCTCTAGCAACAAACAATTGTGAGTATTCTCTGTATTAGATTTGAGGGGCTCTTAGTTGCTTTGGGGTTAACCCAAGTCCAGGTGGGCTTGGGGGGGGGGATGCTGATAAGGAGCCCCAGGACAGCAATTCTGCCTTGGCTGGCCTGTGGATTGGTGCTGGCGGGAAGAAGGGAACTAACTCAAGCCAGGGTGCACATTGTGGTATCCAGGGACTTACCTTCACCCTCTCCCTTCTTCCAGCCTCCATCTGCTAAGTATGGTGGGCGGCATACAGTGACTATGATCCCAGGGGATGGCATCGGCCCAGAGCTCATGTTGCATGTTAAGTCTGTATTCAGGTATGGAGGGCCTGGACCTTGCCTTCTCTCCCAGGGAAGATTGTATCCCAGGCCCAGCTGGAAGCTCCCAAGAACTTTGTGACCCTCTTGTTTGGTATGGGTGGGCCCAATTCCCTCTTAGCTGGAAACAGGTCAAGGTGGGAAGCAGCAGGGGAAAAATTGGTGTAGG